AGAAAGATTAGCCAAACGTTAATAATAATGGCAATATTTAATCGGACTGCTTAAAACTATTACGACCATTACAACAAAAGGGCGAAAATCAACAAAAAAGGCAATGGCAAAAAAACTCATCAAAAATGAATAATAATAATAATGACTATACTTGAATAACATCGAAATTTTTTTTATTATATGTGATGAAAATGAATACAAAAAAGTAATCAAAATTTACTTCAAAATACATATTAATTACTGTAATCAAAATTTTAAATTTCGGCATTTTTCTTTTTAAATGAGCGTGTGTGAATGTCATACCAGTGCAATTGAATATGACTAAATCAGACGATAATGATCAGTAAAAAGTGCCACTCAGACGTCAAATTGGTGCGCGTAGGCCGGGGTATTAGCGGCTGACACTCATTATTCTAAGACCTTATCAACACTGAATTTTAGAGGACGAGGATCACTTTTTATTTCTGTTGAATGGATCACATTATGTAATTGTATAGGCCGTTGTTAATTTTCTCTATCCGTTTTCTAGATGTTTCGTTTTCCATTTTGTCTTTATGTTTCTGTAGCCATTGTCAGATCTAAACCCTGTCGCTGTTTTTTTTTTAAACACTTAAAGTTGTATCATTAGTGGGCCAACGAATTAAAATGATCAATAGATATTTATCAAACAATGATCAATCATTTTCATAGTTTGTGTTTCGAATTGGCTTTTTAAAGTGTTCTTTTTTTATTTTGCTTTATCCTTCCCGTGTTTTTTTTTCTCTCTGTCCAGTCGCAGTGTACAATATGGCACAATAAGGCAGCAGAAATATCCGAGAATCTATTTATATGACAACTCAAAAGGCCTGAATCTATTTCGGCTAGGAAGCGATGACTAAATGATAAGGCTGTAGGCAGGTATACAAGAGCCCTGATATTCCACTGAGTTGAAATACCACTTGAGCAAGAGAGTTTTTTTTTTAAATCGAATTCACCCTAAGCAAGTTTTGTGATGTCAATGAACACTCGTTGCCATTTTTGTAATGTCAATGAATACTCGTTGCCTCTTTCGTAATGCTCGTTGTAGTAGAGACTTTGTAATCGCAGATACAACTATAGTAACGCCGTTGAACAATACTGGCGTCAGTCACTTTCGAATAACACTTGCACTAATATTACTTTCTCGATAATACTCGCTCGAACAGTAATATAGTGGTCCGGATAGAGAAATAGTATAGTTAATAGAGTAGATAATAGCGGTCCGTATAGTAATAGAGGATAGACTAGAAATAGCGGTCCGTATAGTAATAGAGGATAGAGTAGAAATAGTGATCAATCTAATCCTCACGCAATTTCCTATATATGCATTTCCTCTATTGTCATGTGGTCTACTTAATTCAATAATGGGATCGCCTGTGTTTGCTCACTGGCGATCTATGTTCAAATGTCGGCAGAAACACTTTATTCCTATATAACAGCAAGGCAGTACAGCCACGAATGCACAAGGGTTTACTGGATGTGAAAGAATTAGAAAATGGACACGTTATTAAGCGGGAACAATAGAAGAGTGATTAGGAAGATAGTAGATAACGATTGACATACACTGTTTACATCTCCTGAACCGACCAAGCATAGAAATGAATACAATATGGAAAACCAGTAATAAGGAGTGCCAGAGAAAAGCAATAACAACAACGAAAATTGCAATATGAGCTCTGGTAAAAAACATGCAATGATAACAACAAAAATTGCAATATGAGCGCTGGTAAAAATGGTTGCTGAAGACATTAAGTTTATAAGTCCAAGAAATTCACACACAGCTGTCCTTAAGGACACATAGCACAGTGGATAAAGTCATTGGTTACATCCAATAACAGGACCCAAAGGCAGTGGAGAAACTTAGAGAGGGGAATTAACAGGAGATAACTGACAACTGACACCCTTTAAACATTGCACGTGGAACTAGAACAGTCTACCTCAGCGAGCGAAATAAAGGGTTCAGTTCGACATTCCAACCACCTGAAGAAGGCTGGGGCGTACAACGGCCGAAACGTTGTGATAAGTATGGCAACAAAGACGAGGGCAATTGTCCGAATAATGTAAACAGTGTACATAATACCTCATCTCAGAAATATAAACAGATACTGAACGATTGACATAGCATCTAAATTTTTAAGATCGAAGTTGCCTGTAAAGAATAGAGCCGGAAGACAAGAAGAGAGAAGAAACTTTTAGCACGGAACTTACGGTTACATCTAGCCAATTCAACTGTAAATGGATGAGACCTTGCTGTCAAGTACTGCGCTTAAATTCATAAAGTCCAGGTACTATAGCGAAGAGCTCACCCGAACAAACACCATGAAGGTATTTCTAGAAAATGCATTTGGAAACAATTTTACAGTGATAAAACGACTGAAGCCGAGATGCCAGACCAGGACCAATAATATTTCTGATTCTTCTTTGTATTTTATTTAGAGTCTCTAGATAGAGCGCAGGTGCAGTGAAACATATGCGGCAGCAATGTTCTAAGCATTGGCGAATTAGGTAAGATAGATTCTGGAGAGAAAAATTTGTTTGGCACGACACAGTGAACGAACTTTCTTAGCAGCTGACCTAGCAATGCATTCATTATAGTCTTTCTATTTCATCAGCCGAGAATGTTATCCTGGGAAGGCGCAATGAGTCACTCTCCTGGAGGTCAGCATCAGCCATGCTGATGGAAAACAGAAAGGAGTCTCTTAGATGGTTAATAGAGAGTAAAACAACACTGACACAAAATTTGAAATCAGTGAACCATCCATTCACTCGAGTATAATCGTATACATAGATATATGAAAAATTTCTCATAGTTAACCTGTAGAAAAAAGACAATATTTACAAATTTAAAAGACAATAGGAAAACTGTAATATTTGCCTACGCGTTTCGTCCAATGTGGACTTTTTCAAGGCAAAAAACAAAATGAATTTATTAAACAAAGTAACTGATAATAACAAAACAAAATGTACTTAACAACTGGAAGAATTTAGAGAACGCTATTTTCATACTGAAAATTACGTCAAGTACTGTCAGGTTTGGAGATATTGTTTTTATTGTTGTGTTGACGGATTCAACAATTTTCTTTTGATTTCTTGATACTTTTGTGTACGTTTGCTTGGGAGAGTAGTAATTCTGTTAAGGAAGGTGAAATAGGGAAAAGGCCTGGCTGTAGATTAATATTTGGATAATATTCAATGGCGGCACTCTCGAGGATTTTTCCTTCTGAGTGAGTTATTTCCTTTTTTATGAGTGTAGCCTTTTAAAAATCAAAATTGTGGTTGAATTTATTTCTATGTATGACTAGCGCATTAGTTAAGCTGTTTTTTGTGAGGTCTCTTTTGTACTCATAGATGCGTTTTTTCTTTTAGATTTCTACTTGTTTCTCCAATATATGGTTTTGTTATTATTAGTTACTTTGTCGTTTTTACCTTGAAAAAGTACACATTGGACGAAACGCGTCGGCTAATATTACAGTTTTCCTATTGTCTTTTACATTTATAAACACACACACACACACACACACACACACACATATATATATATATATATATAGAATACACAAAAGATGTTCTGAAATGAATGTATCCTATTTATTTCAGTGGAACCATAACAGATGTAGTTTTCTTATTTTCCTTTTTAATGCCATACCATTTCAAGACTCTTCACAGATTCCTTTTCTTCGTTATCTGGAACTTGTCATGTATTCTTGGGTAATATCGTGGAGTGATATTCTGTTGCCTTCTCCGTGGTTCGAAATTCAGAGTTTTCCTTCGCTGAAACGGTAGCTATCCAAGGCTGGAGAGCCGAGGACATTCTGTTATTTAACCACGAGCTGGTGAAGAAAAAGACAGGAAGAAAAACAGTCTAGCATAGAATTTGGAGACGGCTCGTCGATTCAACTTTTTATATGTAAATGTTGGTCATTTTGCTATAAAATGTATTTTGGTAATTTTACAATAAATATGTATTGTTGGAATTTTTTATATAAAAATGTATTGCTGGTATTTTTACTATAAAAGTGTATTTTTATTCTTTCATAGTGTTTTGTTTGTGGGGTCCCTATTTGCCCATAGCTGGGATCCTAACAGGTGCTACCACACCGGGTCAGGATGGACCTGGTAACAATAGGTATTAAGAGGTGGTTCAACACTTCTTTACACCTCTAATCTCCCTATCAGATGCTTTGCTAGTTTATCGTCATACCCAGGACTAAAATATTTAAGAAAATTGACCCAAAATGTCGTGAAACATTTCGTAGACTCCAACGAGCAGAGGCGGAATTGGCGAGGTGATGTATTAAAGACCAAATAGCAGAAAGTGTTCTTGGAATCAAAGTCGATTAAATTAGGGAGTAAAATAAATGATAAAAAGGAAGAATTGCAGAGAGAGAGAGAGAGAGAGAGAGAGAGAGAGAGAGAGAGAGAGAGAAGTGGGAAAGTGTGGGAAAGAAGTAAAATAAAATAAAAGGAATTAAAGGAAATTTTGAGAGAAAGAAAGACAATAAGAAACAAGGCTGTCAAGAAAGAAAGAAATGAGAGAGAAGTTCATGGCAAAAAGGTAGAAATGCAATAAGCAACTAACAAAAAGAAAAAAAAAAAAAAAAATTACCAGTGCTCATATTGCAATTTTTTGCTGTTATCATGACACAGTGGATAAAGGCATTAATTAAATCCAGTGACAGGACCCAAAGAGTGTGAGTTCAATACCCGGTTAAAGCAGTGGAGAACTTGGAGAGGAGAATTAACAGGAGATAACTGATAACTGACATTCATTAAACATGTCATGTGGAACTAGAACAGTCTACCCCAGTGAGTGAAATAATGAGTTCAGTTCGACATTCCAACCACCTGAAGAAGGCCGGAACGTACAACGGCCGAAACGTTGTAATAAATATGGTGACAAAGATGAGGACTATAGTCTGAATAATGTAAATGGTGAATCTATCTTACACATTTAGAGATTCATGACAATAAAAATGAGAATATTAGGGAAAAGGAAAAAAGAATGAAAAAAAAAGAAAAAGAAAAAGAATGGCAATAGTAGGAAAAAGGAAAAAGCCAATGAGAAATAAAAAGAATGACAATATTAGGGAAAAGGAAAAAGAGAATGAAAAAAAAGAAAAAGAAAAAGAATGGCAATAGTAGGGAAAAGGAAAAAGCCAATGAGAAATAAAAAGAATGACAATATTAGGAATAAGGAAAAATAGAATGAAAAAAGAATAACAATAGTGGGGAGAGGAAAAAGAGAATGAGAATAAAAGATGACAATAGTAAGGAAAAGGAGAATGAGAAATAACAAAAAGAATGACAACATTAGGGAAAAGAAAAACAGAATAAGAAATAAAAAAAAGAATGACAATTTGGGGGAAAGAAAAAAAGAAGGAAAAAAAGAATGACAATAGTAGGAAAAGGTAAAAGAGAATGAGAAATACAGCAAGCATAGAATGAGGATTAAAAACTAGTTAATAGAAAATAAAAAAAGAAGAGAATTAGAAAAAATAGAGAAATCAGAAAAAGGAAAAGAGAATAAGAAATGAAAAATAATAGAATAAGAATTAAAAAGAAGAGAATAAGAAACGAATGAAAGAAGCGAATGAGTAATGAAAGATTATAGGAAATAAAAAGAAGATAAGAAAAAAATGAAAGAAAGAGAATGAGAAATTAAAAAAGACACAATGATGAAGAAGAATATAATGAAAAATAACAAAGTAAAGAAGAAATGATGTATCAGAGAATGAAATTAAAAAAGAGAGTAAGCGTAACAAAAAAGGGAGTAGAGAATGAAGAATAAAATGTGGAATAGAATGAGAAATATAAAGAAGAGAATTTGAAATAAAAAAGAACAGATTAAGACATTAATAAAGAACAGAATGGGAAAGAAAAAACGATAGTGAAAAAAGGGAAAAAGAGAATGAGAAATAAAAAGCATGAAGAGAACGAGAAAAGGGAAAGAAAAGAATGAGAAATAAAAAAAAGAAAAGATAAAGCGTAAGACAAATGAATAGGAAAGAAGTAAAAAAAAAAAGAGAATGTTTAAGAAAATGTAAAAAAAAAAATGAGCTATGAAGCAAATAAAAAAAATGTCGGCCAATAGCAAAAGCAAAACGACGATTGGTCAAAAAAGAAGATAAAAAAAATTGATTGAAATACGAAGACGGAAGGTTTGAATGTAGCAAGTCTTTTTGATAGTTTCAGATAAGCGCCAAACTGTTGTCTGTCGTTTCCTTTTTTTTCCCCCTTTTTTGTTCTTCCACTCTGCCATTTCCTACTCTACCACATTTAGCACCCTAATGCCTCGTGTTCACTGCCTAACCTCTCGCCTTCGTCTCAGTTCAACAATCCGGGGCTTCGTTACTAGATTCAATCAGAAGAGAAACCACGCCTCTCTATTTTTCTTTCTTTCTTTCTTTCTTTCTTTCTTTTTTTTGTTTACTCTGCTTTATGTGTCAATCATTGTTACGACTAAACTTGGGCGTGTCCGAACGGTCGACAGTTACACGGTATTTCGCTTTTTCATTGTGTCTGGTAAATATAGGAAATGAATTAAATCAGTAAATTTAAATCCCACCATTTCATGTCTGTGTTCTTGTTTACATTATTTGTAATTAAATCGAAATGGATATTTTATCGCGATACCGCCATATCTGTTATTTTATTTAATATTTTATTTGTCTTGGTTTCTCTAAAGCTATGCTTATCAGCGCTTACTTAATTTAATCAATTCGAATTGAAGACGATTACCACCGTTCAATCTATCTATCTATCTATCTATCTATCTATCTATCTATCTATCTATCTATCTCAGTCTGTTCGGTTATCTCAATCTGTTCAGATATCTATCTATCTATCTATCTATCTATCTATCTATCTATCTATCTATCTATCTCAGACTGTTCCTATCTATCTATCTATCTATCTATCTATCTATCTATCTATCTATCTATCTATGTCGAGACTTTCATGTGGATGTCACCCATGGCATCAAACTCATTCGTCTATTGGCTTAAACAGAGGATCATCCTTCTTCGAACCTTGTAGTTTGACGCTACAGAATCACAGGCAAATAACTTTACCAAAACAAAAAAAAAATATCACTTGAGGACTTTCAACAGCAGCAATAACTAAAATGGATAGCATATGTAACTCGAAGAGAAAATAACAACATAATCAAGATGTTGACGTTCCACACTACTTTAAACAAAAGGCTAGAAAGGAAACTCCCGTCAATACTGGAAAGAGCGATGAGTTGAACAACCTTTTTTCCTGAAAAATTGTTCTTATAGAAATATTTTATAAACTTCAACCGAAAGATAAACTGGCTGATCGGTCAATGAATGCGTATTTTTTTCCTTATAAAAAAAGGATTAATATTACCATTACCCTGTATTCAATGGCATATTTCTCCAGGGTTTTGAGATTCATGGCTCTCCACAGCTTTCTTCTCTTTTATATATGTGAACAGTTATCAGTTTTCAGGAAAGATAGCGGAATGGTCTACCGTTGCCTTTCCATAGTTTTGAATTAAAAGTTGCCTTTCCCTTTGACTTGTTGCTATCCATGGCTCGTCCTGTCTGCTCTCCTGTTTAACCCATAGTTGGGGTCCAATAGAAGTCTATACTGAGAAAGGTTTGTTCGTTATACACGGCTAGACTTTTTTCGAAACCTCAAATTTGTAATACATACTGACCAGCACATAAAAAACTTTCAGTTATGTGCCATCGTGATACACGCTTAGGCGATCATGTAACATTCGATACATGACTGACGAGGCAGATATTTCCCGCAGTAGAAACTTCTGAAAGAATGTTCGTTTCTGTTATGGTCCAGGTTTGGACCAAGGAAGAACAACACGAACACAAGAGTAAAAATAAGGAAGGTATATTACACGAAATAATAATACAAGATGTGGAAGATGTTAGTATGACTGTCAGTCTGGTTTGGAGTGAAATACTATCGGCTCGACTCGATTCGTTCCTCTCTCTTGAGAGGCGTAGTATACATAGTGTTAGGAAGGGTTCATTCTGTAGTTATAGGTAAGGACCCATGACAGTTTCCTTGTACCACTTCTACTTTTTGTGCTTTATCAGGCCAAGAATGGAGTATTACTGGCACATCTGGACTTGTGCTACCCATTTCTAAGCCATTATGTGACCCTGTGGGTGATGAATTATTTTTCCCTTTTCAACTCTTTTCTCACAGACGAAACGTTGGCAATCCCATCCTACTCAGTCGCTGCTACTATGGCAAAAGTTCAAACGAACTATATTTCTTATTCCGACCAGTTCAGACTTTCACGACTAACACGTCGGTCAAATCATTCACTCTCCCTTCGTATTTCTTTGTTAAGGAAGAAGTTAGACGTTTTCTCACCTAGAACTGGCACATCGTAGAGCAGACTCCCGAGCTCGAAGGGATGCTTCCTTGACCACTGGAGTCTTAACCTCTTCAAGTCTAGAGTCAACCGATATCTATCTTAAATATCCTCATAATATGCACAGCTTCCTGCTTTCTTCTTTCTCTACGCCCTTACAACGATCTCATCCAATAACCATCTACTTTGAGTGGTTCTTGGGCCTTGTATGGGGGGAATAATGAAAACATGTATTAACCTTATACTTGGTATAGACGAGTATGTAATAAATATGCTTATGTAATAAGTTATTTGGAAAAACGTTCATGAAAGTATGTTTTGAAAATAATACCCGATAACGTATTTCGCCTATATGGCTTTATCAGGTGGATAACGAAACCTGTGTTGTACGTGTAGGCATTTGTGTGTGTTTAAAATAATTATATCTTATATTATTTTTTCCAAGCTGACGTTGCTCGAGACAAAAGAAGAGAAAGAAAATGAGTGACATTTTGATATGTCCCGGAAAGGGATCTATTTGAACGAAGTAGCTAAGTGGTTTTGGCTACTATAACCAAGTAGAATACGGTAGTAGTAATCGACTGGTACGCGCCGTCGTAGTCGCAGGTAAGAAGTGTAGATCAATGGCGTAGTCCAATGGGCGTCGTTATAGACTTAGCTCTCAGACTAAGGCTCTTGACTCTCCTACATGTCCGTCGGTATTTATGACGGACACCAGCCAATCATATTCCAGTTAGGGGGAACACAGGTGTACGCATATTCCATTATATCACATTTTGAACGTTTTTTTCCAAATGTCAATATCTTATAGTATCCAGGGATTATATCCTTTTTTGATTGTTATTTTCTTTTCATATCAATCTTCCGAGAAATAGCTAACGCCAACAAACTCGGATACAAACATTAACGACATTATCTTGAAGTTATTATTAAATCAAGCATTGTCAATTGAAGTAGTTCCCGCCAACTATCTGTTCCAAGATCCCCAGTGGGTGTCTAAAACTGTGGGTGGTACCAAACCCTATATACGAAGTTCATGACACCGCCAAGAAGTCTTTCCTAAAAGAATTCTGATATTTCGTCATAATTTGGGAAAGGCACGGGGTTAAGAACTTTTCAACAACTTTTTGTCAATTATGCCTTTTCTTTCTTTTATCACATATTCCTGCGATAAAAGTTCAATTTATAAATTAGACACAATAGGCCTAACAGCAACAACTAATAATAAAAAGGACAATTATAACAATGTACTGTAATAAAATTATGTGATAAATGGAAGAGTCTTTCTTATTGCAGTACTTATTAAATACGATAAGAGATTAAAAACAATAGGACAATTATGAAAATATACTGTAATAAATGTTATGTGATGGATGGATGATTCGTTCTTAGCATAGTTCTTATTAGACACGATAAGAGATTAATATCATTAACTAATAATAAAATAAAACAATTATATATAATTAGTTATGCAACAATAGAAAGATTGCTACTTGCCATAGATCTAAGCACCCTCAGCAAATGATATTTTTTAAAAATCGGGAACTTACATATTTTCAATTAAGGGAAGCACTTTACAGTTTTTCTTCGGCATACTTGAATTGCTAGCTTCAAATTTCTTGCACTCTAAGACCACTTAGAAGCCATATTCATAAATTGTCTACATCTGGGCTCATCTACTTCAATGAAATCGCAAACAAGGGATGCCATTGTATTATTAATTTTTCGATTAGGATTTCTTTTATCTTAATTTCACTTGTCTTTTATATCAACTTCTAAGTTATTCTATGACCATCAACCGTTTTTGATCATCATACAGCCATTTTTGATCATCATACAGCCATTTTTCATTTAATGGACAGGTTACATTCTAACCTCATGGCCGCTAAACAAACTGGTCGGAAAAAAAAAAAAAAAAAAAAAAGTTGTACGTCATCGTTATTTCAACGTTTTTAATTTATGTAGTACTGACGTCATATTCGGGCAGGAGCTGCCCCGTCGTCACTTTCCAGTCACGAGTGAGTTTAAGATCCTCTCCGTGTCCATGTGGGTGACAGATTATTCCCACCC